ACTCAAATTATAAACGATATAATAAATCGTTTATAATTTGAGTATTATTTTTGCTGTAACTATATATATATATATATAAATAGTTACAACATTATTAACAATTATATGATTACATTTTTAATAAACATTGTACGAAAAATAAATTTTCATATATAAATTTAAATATCTGTACTACGCAAAAATATTGTAAACGGTTTATAATATTATAAATGTACTATTATATATTGTTTAACAAAAGGAGTCGAATTTGCATGTCTCAGTAGAACTTTTAATGAACCACATTATTTTCGTTTACCAACTCAGTACTTTGCTTTACCATCCCACTGATGGATGAAAAACGCAATACTATATATTGCGTAAATTCAAATAAAACTGTATACTATAGCATGAACATACTTCACCGATTAATACGGTATAATATTGATGAATGGTTGTTATACTTTTATGAATGTATGTATGCATGAGTAGTGTGGGACTAGACACTTACTACAGTTATGCATTCGCGATGACACTCGTAGTTGATCGTAGGGCTTATTCTAAGGATTTTTACCTACTGCCCAAAAACACTAAAAAGTTTGTTGTATGAAATTTATTTGGATTATAATACTTACCCTCTCCCCAAATAAATTGTATATTTATATTTTAGAATTTTGACCATCGCGTGGTAAAATACAGGGACGTCATTTGGAGGGGGGACAGACTATGAAAAATGCCCCACTTTAAAAAATTTTAAAAAGTCGCCAATTCTTTGTTTGATGATCAAATGCTAAAATCAGTAAATAGTTAATTTTTATTTACTATTTTTAATCCAGAAATCAGATAATATTATCTTTTAAATACACGTTCACGGTTTTTTAAGTTGGTAAACACTGGCTCCTCCTCGGTTTATGACAATTGTTATTACGCGAAACTTATAAACTTTATTTTTGATATATTATATACTTCCATATATGTGATCTTTATAAAACAGTTTTCATGATATCGATACCATAAAAATTGAGCTCATAATCTTTAAAAACCGTTAAAATCGTTCCTACTCACCCCAAACTATGGTACATTATATTTGAGATACAATTTTATGTATTTAAATTATACAAATAAAATATAAAATATATATTTAAATATACAAATAATAAAATTAAAAGTACTTATTTAATTAGATTTATATTATTATTCCATTAAACCTATTGATAGGTAACTTATAGCCTATAGGATAAGTAAATAAATTAATGTTTTACTATCTTTAATGGTATTATTTAATTGGGTAAATTAAAACGTTTCATGTTCTTTATTTATCATCATGGCATAATTATTCATTACTAATCCTTACATGTTTTGTTCCGAAAAAATATTTTATTGATAGTCTATGGTCTATAAATATTAAATATTTAAATATATAGTTGACTATCATTTTTTAAATATTATGAAGTCGGCAAATTTAATCAGTTGTTCCACCCTTTCAAAAGTTGAAATGACGCCCCTGGTAAAATACAAAATAAAAATACGAATCTTTTCCGTTATACGTATACCCCTATTTAAATTTAAATGTCATAGATTAATCAATCATCGGAGCAGCACAGATTATAAACTTATATAATTATTACTTATTAGGGGGTAGGTACCTACTAAGGTTGGGTTTATAAATTACACAAATTTCAAATACTCAGTAGAAATTCAATCATTCAATAAGGAAAATTAAATTTTTGTAAGGTGCCCATATTTATCAAGTCAACTGCCCTTTTGATTTTCCTACTACTCAATTTGGGTCATACTGTCCGTTAGAATAAGACCTGGTTGATCGCTCAGAAAACGATAAATTGTCCCAAGCCTTAGCGAGCCAAAATGCACTCGTACACAATCAAGGTGATTCCCTCACTGCTCTGGAATAATCAAGAATGATCGAAAATAATCGGATTGTAATCAAACGACACGTGACACGGTAATCGCTAAGCTTAGTGAACACTCGCAGAAGCTCGTACTCTGATATACTTATTAGTACGGGAAGGTGGTTACTTCGAAGATCGAAATAATCACTCGTCCCTACGTTTGTGATTGTTAACGGGTATTGCGGGACCGGCTTTATTTAAGGCCATTATGTCAAACAATCGTACAACGCTGTAGTAATTTGTCTATATACAAACGAAATCGACGAAAACAAGAAATGCCACGTGAACGTCAACGTTCAAGGGTGTGTGATTGAATCCCTTTGTGGTGAATCGTATTACGGAAACGCCATAGTCAATTAAACGTACTGTAACTGCTTGCAGCCACCAAAGAACGGATTCGGATTGGCATTGCAGTGGTGTTCATCACGTATTCACCAATATACGTACTTATGGTATTGCGCGCAGGTTTCTAGTTCGATATAGATTGATGTTAAAATCAACCGAAAAAATTATCGACACTGAAACTTTGGTAGCAGGTCAACGTTTCGTGGGATAAAAGGAGTATAACCCCCCCTCCCATCTAAACAACATTACCCCTGTCCACGCAATTACATCCCAATACCGGTAGTGTAAAACGTAAGATTTCGGCTAAACGCGATGAACATAAAATTATGTGTTGTGTAATCGTAAACGGTTCATTCTTATCGTCCTAATCGTTTAAACGATGACATTTAATCACGTGAACTCGAAAATCGAAATACACGTATAACAATGCAACTGCGTCGACCTTGAAGCGGTCATGTCGTATAGATTTTCCGTCGTGTACTTTGTACGGCATCGGCACGAACCCACACACACACAAACGTGCACATACATATCCGATCGCGCATACACCGTTGGACGTTCGAAAACGTTAAGTCGACAACGGTGGAATGCAATACAGCGATTTTCGAATGGGTATTTCTTTTTTCGGCCGTTACAAACAACCGCTAACAATTTTATCTTATGGGTTAAACGCAATCATAGTCACCGGACTGTTATCGTCTTCGGTCAGATATGTTGACGTAAACGGATATTGTTTTGAAATTATTCCTGGAAAGCAGTGGCGTAACGAGTGGGGGGAGGGCTAGGGATTTAACCTCCCTTCCCATAAGTAAAATACAAACAATGATTTCTTTTATGGAATTTTGCATTTAATGTATAATATATTATAATTATTTATGCCTAAAAATAATTGTGGTTGCACCATGTTACATTTCATTTCACGGTTGTATACGCCATACGGGCTAAATACCAACGTTTATACACATGTATACGTGTGCGTGTATGATTAGTACCTAATCTTAATATAATCTCAATATAAATCTACTTTGAATCATGCGATTCGACATATAAATATATAACCGAGTATAACAAATAACCAATCGACGATTAGACTAATAAACATGAACACCTATTAATTTTATTACTAATTTATTTTACATTTTTTTACTATTCATTTTATTTTGAACTCAAGTTCTGCGACGTATTGTGTTCAATATTTTTGTAACTATAAAATTATTTATTATTAAAACGTTATTCATTTTTATTCAATATGATTGATTGGAAAATAATAAATTAAAAAACACTACTCTAACAAATGTTTTCAAAAAAAAAATAAAAAAACATGCAAGTATCTAATAATTCAAAAACACCCGTTGAAAACAACAGAAAAAAAAATCTAGTTGGTAAACTAAGTTTGAATACTAACAATTTTACTAATTATTTTAATAAATCTTATGAATTTCCTGTGCTTGATGAATTATCAAAAGCATCAAGGATAATTAATATTAAATTGTAAATTTATATCATTAAATATACATTTTTTAAAATTATTTGTACTATGATTTTAAATAGAAAAATAATATGAACGTATGAACATTTTTTTTTATGTTTCCCCTTCCCATAAATGAATTCTGCGCACGCCACTGCTGGAAAATGTCAAGAGAACGGTGATAATGCGATTTTCGCGGTTTACACTTGGCGGCAAAAACAACAAAATATATATTTACCGAAAACCAACTTAAATGTGCCTTGTTATATATATATTATTGTAAATTTATTTTTTATTTTCTATTTCGTTTGTTTTCAGTTTTCAGGAACACAAAAAAGTCGATGTCGTTTGTCGAAAATTATTCTAAACTGCATACACGATTATATTTAGGTATTTTTAATTGTCAACACATGCGAAATAAATGGTTTAACTTAATTATTTTTACAGTGACAAATAAACCTAATAATGGTAGATATTTTGTTCGTATTATACTTCCACATGTTATATTCGGTGCATCAATAATATAGTATAATATTTTCTTAATATTAACAAATATATATATTTTTTTTTATTATTTTTTATATGATTTTTAATACCAACTGTACGAGTTAAAATCATAGATTAAGTAGTACAATAGATTTGATAATGCTAAGTGAGCACAAATAAAACAAATTTGAAAAAACAATTATTGATGAGCACAATATCTGGTTGATTATAATTTTCCCCTCAATATTCACAAGTAAAACAAATGATCAAACATAATTTGGGACAACTGCAGAGTATACATAAACATAACGTACGTGCTACCCCAATAATAAAAATAAATAAAAAAAAACAAGTGTTACATGCTATATAACATAAAATAATAATATTACGTGCTAATTAAAATCTGCTAAAAAATTGCACATAAAATATATACACACACAAACACACATA